AGACGCGATAAATCGATCCCAGAACATCGATGGCGTGCCGCCGGACCAGCCGGTAAGTGAAGTCTAGGCCTAACTCAGGAACCAACCCATGCAACAAACCTCGATGCCAACTCTGCCCACATATCTACACCAGCAACACCATCACAGGACCTAACCAGATCAACTACAACATCACCGGCTCATTTACCTGCACGTCCACCAATGTTATATATGCCATCATATGCCAGCAATGCCCCTCTGCTATGTACATTGGCCAAACTGGACAGTCACTACGCAAGAGGATAAATGTACACAAGTCAGATATCAGGAATGGCAATATACAAAAACCTGTAGGAGAACACTTCAACCTCCCTGGCCACACAATAGCAGATGTTAAGGTAGCCATCTTACAGCAAAAAAACTTCAGGACCAGACTCCAAAGAGAAACTGCTGAGCTCCAGTTTATTTGCAAATTTGACACCATCAGATCAGGATTAAACAAAGACTGTGAATGGCTTTCCAACTACAGAAGCAGTTTCTCCTCCCTTGGTGTTCACACCTCAACTGCTAGCAGAGCATCTCACCCTCCCTGATTGAACTAACCTCTTTATCTCCATACTGATTTATACCTGCCTCTGGAGATTTCCATTACTTGCATCTGAAGAAGTGAGGTTCTTACCCACGAAAGCTTATGCTCCCACTACTTCTGTTAGTCTTAAAGGTGCCACAGGACCCTCTGTTACTTTTTACAGATTCAGACTAACATGGCTACCCCTCTGATACTTAACTTTTAATAGGTAAACCGAGGCATAGAGCTATTAGAAGCCCATTCCTGAAGCCATTGAAGTCAATGGCCCCAAGAGACTTGCTCCGAGGATGCGCGCGGCACGGACATTTGTGCATTGGGCTTGTGCTAGCTTAGCCCATTGTAGGATCCAGAGTAGCAGCCGTGTTAGTCTGTATCCGCAAAAAGAAGAACAGGAGTACCTTGTGGCACCTTAGAGACTAACAAATTTATTAGAGCATAAGCTTTTGTGGACTACAGCCCACTTCTTCGGATGCATTGTAGGATCAAAGCTCAAGTCAGCTGCATAGATGTGACCAGAAGGCACTGAAAGGCAGTAGTCCTAACCTCCAGCCCTGTTGGTCACAAGTGTGCAGGTCAGGTACAGGTTACTTAACAGAAGCAGAACTCTCCTAGTGTGTTAGCAAGAAAGCAAGGTGTGTGTGTTTGGTTTTTTTTACAAACTTTGGGCTTGATCCTGCAAACACATCAGCACCCGAGTAACTTGAATCACCTGGGTAGCTCCACAGACGTCAGTGCGACTGTTTCTGTGCGGAAAAGCGACTCAGGCATATGTGTTTGCAGGGGTCTGTGGCTTTTCGGAGGCGCTGCAGGACTCTGGCTGCACGCGAATAGCATTTCAGCAGCGTCCTGCCCAACGCCGACTGACAATTACTACCGCTAAACAGAACAAACGGCAAGGAAACCTGCCGCCACCGGAAAACCGTAGAGAAAGCTGGAAAACAAACCAACTCAAACCACCTATCGCGCACTGGCTTTCCATTTCTAAGGCAGTCCAGCTGCGTAATGTCCTAGATGCGCCTCAGTTACTTCGTCTCTCACTCCGTAATTAGTGTCCGAGGCAAATTCCTGCCAGCCTTTCCCCTGGGCGTGCAACGCATTTGGGCTCAGACCCTGCCACGCTCTCAATGCTGACTCGGTGGAAAGCTGGGAGAGAAGCTCTCTCTTGAAGTGAGATTCGTTGTTCTGTTGAAAGCATCCAAGATCTGATCATATTAAGGAACCGCCTCCTGCCCCCCTCTTAAAGTCACAAAGCCATAATATTTTGCCTTTCAGTTTCCCCCTCGTGGCGTGCTGTGCTTATCTAAACTCCCACCCACCGGAGGCTGGATGCAATTTCAACACATTGCTGCCAATTAAATGCAGCATTTCAAAAATGTTTGTATTTAGCAACAGAAAGCCAGTGACCAGCTCCTTGGCAGTCCAGGCAGGCACTGTTAAGGGTGAGCTTTAACTGTGCAGACTCACACATCCCGTGCACGGTGCCCCTCATTCAAATCGTTGGTCCCCTCCCTCCCCTTAAAGTTTCCTCCGATCGGCTTTGTTACACTTGAATGTCTAGCATGAGCTGTGCCGGAGGCAGAGGTGCTCCAGGAGGAGGAGGCATGTGAAACTGTTGCATCCTTTTCTCTCTCTTCTTTTTCTTTAAAGGCTAAAGAACTTAAACTTCCTGAAATTGTTGAATAGAAGCGGAGCGGACTTTTCTTCTTCCCCCAAGAGCTGGAAAGTGACTAACAGTTCAAGGAAGGCTCCAAAGCCGAGAGAGATCAGCAGCACACTTCCTTTAGGGGACTCCCTCGACTTTCCCTCTCCCCCATTTGTCTCTCCGGGGAGGAGCCAGCGAAAGGCACATTGTAAAAATAAAAACTGGACCGGAGCCAGCAAGTGTAAAATTCTAAGTGGTATTGGTCAGATCGTGGCGGATAAAGTAGAAACTCCTTCACTTCGTGATGTGAAAAGTCTCAGGAGAGAGCTGAAACATTTCTAGCAGCGGTGGGTTGTTTCATCTCATTTCCTTCTCCAAAATCCGCGATGCAGCCCTAACTTAACATAAAAAGGGGGTGAGTGTAAAATACACTTTCTTTTTTGTCTTTACACTGGCAATCTAAGGTGGTGGGGAATGCAAAGAGGGGAGGGGAGACCTCTGAGGAGCTGCAGCAGCAAATGGCAATCATGTAGATTTCGGATCAGAGTGTCAGCATTTGTCTTGTTTGAACAGGAGATAATCGCAAGGTTGTTGCCATTAAAACGGCCTCTGGTGTGTTAACAAGATGTTTATCTTGAGAGAGAGTTTGCAACAATAACAAAAAAGTTTGGGCTGTGTCTGATCTTCTATAAGAACCGTGTGCTTTATAATTTAGGCTGACACTTTCAGCTCGTTGGGTTGTTTTTGTCCAGTTGTTGAGGCATGGGATGCACTGACAGCCAGAGCCTGCTTGATTCAAAACAAAACAAAAAAACTCAGCAAGTTCTCCATTAACATAAATAAATAAAAATAGAATCTCCGGGCTTTTGATATCTTTGAAGAGCGTTGCCAGTGTAGACTAGCTCTGAGTCATCCCGAAAACAAAATGCCTCATTCTATCCCTTCCCCTCAGGAGACACAATAATTCTGAAACTGGGGGTGGGAAAAAGAGAATATTCTCTGCCTTTTTCGGTTTGCTAAATGAATTTAATTAGAACGTAGCCTGTTGCAAAGAGACTGAAGCCATGTAACTGCCAGTGAGCCTGTCCCAAAAGGCAGAGCAGAGAAGAGAGATCCATCCCTCTTTAACACCCCCTCCCCATCTTGTCTCAGTAGTTGTGTAAAGTTCATTTGTCTGGCTGTTTTGTGAATGAAAATGGAAAGTTTCTTGTTCCCTAATAACTGCTCAGGGTCTCTGTGCACTGGGAGATTTTTGTACCTGACTGTTTTTAATAGACAAAATGTTAATAAAAACCGAGGAGTCCGGTAGCACCTTAAAGACTAACAGATTTATTTGGGCATAAGCTTTTGTGGGTAAAAAAACCCACTTCTTCAGATGCATAGAGTGAAAATTACAGGTGCAGGCATAAATATACTGGCACACGACTGTTAATATTTTCACCGGAGTTCCTATTAGTAGAAGGAATCCCAATACCCTTCTTTCCCCTGTTCTCCGAAATGTCCCAGCACTTGCAACTCTTGTCACTTGCCTGGGCTGGGCAGAAATGCGAATGTGCATATGCAGGTTTTGGGGGTGATTCAGTTTATAACTGTCTATACTCTTTTTGCTGGCCTTCTAGACATATGAGCTCTGTCCCTCGATTTTGTGTATTTTTGTTTGTCAGCAACAAGTTCTGAACATATTTGTAGACAACACTGTAATTCTGTGGTATGAAAGGTTTCAGTTATGCTGAAGTCACCAGTGTCTGTGGTTCAACACATAATATCTGTTTACAGTGTGTGTATGTATGTTTAGAGTATATAGACAGTTATGACTTCAGCTAGGTTGCATAAATTCAGCACAGAAATTGATCTACAATCTTTCTTTTCCTAGCATAAAAGTCATAGAGAAACTGTATCACAGGCCACAGTGGCATAACCTACTTCTTGGTTAGTTTCATGTCTTCATAGTTCTAATATTTATTCAAGATTTTTCCCTAAAAATCCCCAGACATTCTAATAGCTTTACAAACTATGTCAATTCTGCTCTCTTTACCCATGTGAGTAACTTCATTAGCCTTGTCTATGTACAAAAATGACCTGTGACTGATAATGTGTGTGAGCAATCGGTGCAGCTAAATATGTGCAGTGCTGAACGTAATCTGTCCTGGTCTGCAGTTGCAGTTAAACCATTTCAGCACCAATTCAGCTGTGTCTGTCATCAGTAGTGTGAAACTTCTCATAATACAGACAGTGTTACTGATTTCTGTGTGAGCAGAATTTGTTCCACAACATGTCAGTGCAGCCATCTCTGGGGTGGACCGCACCAATCATTTAAAGGAGTGCACAAGAATAGTATAAAAACAATAATAAATAATATAATAAAAAAAGGCCATTCAAATAGTTTGGGACTGACAGGAAGAAATACTTTTATCCAAGTGTTTTGGCAGGGGGAATTTAGTTAAGCAGAATGCATTTACCTTTGCTGTAATTTCCCCAGGACAAGGTGGTTAAATCTTCCTTAAATCTTAGACGTCACCTGAAAAGTGACATGGGCTCAATTTTGCAAACCTCATTAATTTATTTCTCTCTTCCCCAAACCATTTAGTTTTTCTAGTGGCTTGATTTTATGTATTAAAGCCCACTTTGGGGGGTAGTGTTGGCTGCAGGTTTTAGGGGCTGGATCTCTTTCTTTTCTTCTACCCCAGACTTTACTTTCGTCCTATCTCTTTCGGAAGAGCCTTGTGCTGTCTTTACATATTGCATCTGCCATTTAAAATCAGAAGGAATAGCTTGGCCTTATTAAAATTAGTGTGCTGGGGCTAGGGAAATCTTACCCATTTCCTGTCCTGACTACTGTAAATGAGGATTCCAGGTGAAGTTTTTATAGACACATTTGTATGAGACTATTAAAATGCTTGTGTGGTGAAACATGTTTTACAGATGTTAATATAGTTTTACTGATCTTTTTTATTGGAAGGGAACTACGTAAAATGTCATATGTATATATTTTTCCTGTTTTATTACCCTCACCACAATGTTATCCTGATGTCTGGAGCAAAGAATATCTTAGACCAGTCTCCAAAGTGGGGTGCGCGCAGTTTTTTTTTTTTGCTTCTGCAGTTCGGGTGGGAGTCCGAGTTTTTATTTATTTATTTGCTTCGGCGCAGTGCTCAAATTTTTTTTACTGATGGGGTGCGCGATCAAAAAAGTTTGGAGACCACTGTCTTAGACAATAACTGTAAGGATACCAGTGATAAATATTTAACAAATCCATGGTCACCTACAATTTCATGGTTGTTGCTATGTTGCTCCCCATGGCTGCTTGGAACCTCAGTAACAGTAGTGATAGAACTATGATCTTCTGCTTCGTGAGCATAGGACCCTATTATGGGAACTAAAGGAGAATGTTGCCAGCATAGGGCAACAGGTCACACAGTTCTACGGTTTTAAATTCATTTCCATTAGAGTCCAGTGGTACGTGCAGCCACACACCAGCTCTTCCGTTATACGTCATAGGGTATGTACATTTGAGGATATGAAAAATGGCAGTAGATTTTAAGATAGAAATAGAGATTTCATTAGATCTTTATTTCTTTTAATCTAGTAAGGAAGAATATCTAAAAGCACTTTTATTCATAGAGTTTGGGCTCAGTTTCCCTGATTAACACCATTCATAAATTCTAAGACCATTATTATCTAGTCTGACCTCTTGCGTAATGCAAGCCATAGAACCTCACCCAATAATTCCTGCCTCAAACCCATACCTTCTGATTGAGCTGTAGCACGTCTCTTAGAAAGGTATTCATAATTTCTTCTCTGAGTGAATATGTGTAGGGTACTACATTTTATATGAAGAAGGTAAATCGGGTTCTCCCATTTACTTTCTCATAATTCAAGAAAAAGGGGACGTCAGATGTAATGCTTTTTTGTTACACAACCCATAATTAACACGTGTCACTCACTGCCAACAGGATGTCATTGTGGCTAAGATCTCACTAGGATTGAAAAAGGGATTAGATGTGCATATAGCTAAGCAATAATGCATTTATAGTATGCTCAGGTTACAAGCCAATCACTAATTGATGGGGTTAGGAAGAAACTTCCCCACAGGCAGATTATTCCATAATTGTACAGTGTGGGAGTTTCTGGCACTTTTGTTTGAAGTGGCTGGTTCTGGCCACTGTCAGAGACAGGACACTTGGCTAGATGAATTTGATCCAATATGGCAATCCCTGTATTCCTATTCTTCTGCCCATCAATGATGAAAACTTTCATTTCAAAATGGTTTAACTTGGGGATACTGTGGTGGATTTTTTTAAAAGAACTCTTGATACATCAACAAGCAACAAAGCACATTAGAAAGCCTTCTTTCACTCTATACAAGCAAATAAAACTGGAATGTGGATATTTACAGTGTTATTGACAGCTAGCATGGATATCATAATTGTACTCGCCCTTCAAGATAAAGGCTCCTTTAAGCAGTTTTGTGTATAATCCATGAATTGGTTACAATGTCCGTTCAGATGAGTTCAAAGACTCACAAGGTTCATTTTCAAAACTGAAGGACCCAGCAATAAAAAGCTGTGTTGCCATCACTCACAATATTTGGTGTTTTTCTTAAAGTCCCAGCTCCCAGGAAATCTCAGCTTCCATTTAAAAAAAAAATGTCTAGCTCCTATAGTTGTAAGGAAAAACAATTTGAAAACAAGAACCAAGTCTATCTCGAAGGCTCAGAAACCAGACGGCAAGGAAAAGAACTCAAAATCTATGAATTTTTTAAAACCTTTTGGATTTTAAGTCAGTCACATGATTTTGGGAGGCTTGACTCATGATTTTTGAACATTTAGAGTTGACAGTACTGTTAACCACAAAAGTATGACGTTGTTGTCTACACTAGATTTATTGTCTTAACATTTACCACTGGTGAGACTACAAATGTAGATTTTACACATTAAGAAAACATGTACTGTGATCCTGTTCTAGTGTTTGTCTAATGGAGGTTAACAGCCTACTACTGATGCAAGCTGAGAGGTCACCTTTTGTTCAGATGGTAGAGGTCTGTGTTGAAAGTCTTCACATCAAACAAACCCTGTTGAAAAGCCATAGGGAGGGTTGTTATGTAAACAGGCCTTGTACAGCCACTGGTGTTCTTAATGGGCACGTTTTCTAACCCAGGGATAGACAACTGATGGTGAAAACACCGGTGGCTGGTCTGCTCAGGTTCTCCCACTGTTGTTACTAATGGTGGAGCTGCAAAGGTGGGAAATGCTAAGGAAGTGTCCAGTGCAGAAAAGGTTTAATTTTGCTAGATCACTTCTACTTATTGTATGGATGGACCCTAAAAGATTTGTGGTTATTTAAATTGGACTAAGTCATGTCTAAAGAGATCTTGCGTTCTTTCTAATTAGCATCTCATAAGCGATAAAATATGTA